TTGTAGCAAATCCCTAAAGGATTAATTAGTGCTACTCCTACTCCTGCACCTTTAGAGGTCTTTGACCCATCGAAATACAATACCCAAGGTTTTAGTCCGAACGAGTTGATTTCTAATTCGATTTCTTCAGGCATGTCAAGGCATGGATGATCGGCTAGGAAGTTAGCCAAAGCCTGATTTTTGACTGCCTTTTGAGGTATATATTGTATTTCGAATTCTGATAAAGCTAGTGTCCAAAGACCTACCCTTTGGTGTAAAATAGGGCGCGAGAACATATATTTGACTAAATTTACCTTAGAAATTAAATAAACGGTTACGGGCCGTAAATAAGCCCTTAATTTTGTACACGTGAAATACAGTGCTAGACACAATTTTTCAACGGCAGAGTAGTTATATTCACATTTCGTTAACCGTCTACTCAAATAATAAATTGCCCTTTCTTCACCAAATTGGTCTTCCTGTGCGACCTTCCAGCTATTGATTCCTTTTCAGCCGATACATATACTTTCATTGGCCGTCCCTGGATAGGTGACACCAATACTGGTAGACTTGATAGATATGTCTTCAGGCTTTCAAAAGCCTTTTGATGTTCTTTTTTCCAGACGAATTCGTCCTGATTTTTCAGCTTTAATAGCGGCGAAAAAAACCTTAGTTCGCCCTGCACAGTTAGAGATGAAGCGTTTTAGAAAATTTACTTGGCCTAGAAACCTTTGCAACTCCTTTTTATTGCAAGGTGGTTTGGCTTCTAGGATGGCCTTCGCTTTATTTTTATCAAGTTCAATCCCTCTCTTGTGTACTAAAAAACCAAGGAAATTCCCTGCATTGACACCAAATGCACATTTCAAGGGATTCAACTTTAGCTTATACTGCCTCATTCGCTCAAACGAACATTTTAACTGTTCGAAATGGTCTTTTTCTTTAATAGATTTGACTACTATGTCGTCTACCTCTCTTGTGTACTAAAAAACCAAGGAAATTCCCTGCATTGACACCAAATGCACACTTCAAGGGATTCAACTTTAGCTTATACTGCCTCATTCGTTCAAACGAACATTTTAACTGTTCGAAATGGTCTTTTTCTTTAATAGATTTGACTACTATGTCGTCTACATACACTTCGACAAACTTGCCTATCATGTCGTGAAAGATTAAATTCATTGCCCTTTGATAAGTTGCCCCTGCATTTTTTAGGCCGAAAGGCATGATCACCCATTCAAAACATCCTAGAGACCCAGGGCATCTAAAGGCAGTTTTGTGTATGTCTTCTTCAGCTATATAAATTTGATTGTATCCTGAATACCCATCCATGAAAGAATACATGACATGTCCGGCAGTTGAATCTACTAAAGAATCTACCGTGGGCATTGGATACTCATCTTTGGGTGTAGCTATATTCAAATTTCTAAAGTCTATACACACCCTTAGTTTACCATTCTTTTTTAATACTGGCACAATGTTTGACAACCATTCGACATATCTGGCTGTCCTTATAAAACCTGCTTTCAATAATCGCTCTATCTCTTTCTTAATCTCAGGGAGTACATTAGGAGCAAAACGCCTAGGAGGTTGCCTATGAGGTTTAAAATTAGGCTTAGTCGGTAACCTATGTTCCACCAAGTCTCTATCTAAACCAGGCATTTGTTCATATTCCCAAGCAAAACAATCTTTG